TGCCGTACAAGTGCAGTTGATAGGTTGTATAGTGCTGAAAAATGCGTCTTGATTGCCGTAGTCTCCTGCCTCTCTTGACATGATGGTGCGACCTTGTGCACGTGGGGCGGCTTTGAACATGGCGGTTGACTGCCTACTCATTTTTGTCCTGATTTGCCTGTTTGTGTTGGCATACGGAGTCATAAGGAGCTAAGGGACGTGCAGCGCATGTTTCTCGATGGGACTGGTTCGTGTAGAACAACCAATTCTGCCTAGGTCTCCCGACTCTGCCCTTGCCAATCTGGAACACCTGTACCGAATCTGGCCGGTAACTTACTTGACGTAAAGGGTCTTGTTGGGGCGTACGCACAATGTGTCCAGCCGGCTTCTCGCACTTTCCCATCAAAAGTTGAAGAAGTTTTACCGTTTCTTGTCCACCTATTTACGCATTCGCTTTCTCAATGCCTCTTGCCATGACCTGTGTCAGATGTGCACATACACATGTAGTTTCCAGTGCTTCGGGCAGTTGACGGATGTCCAGAGCATTCAGCATGAACATAACGTGAGAGTTTGATGCATTTTATCTATGATTTCATGCTTGATATCCAGAGGCGTGTACTTTGATGAACGAAATAATTTGCTTCATTTGCCCTGTCCAATCGCGTGTCATCTGCGAATTTCATGAAACTGCCCTTTGTCTCTGTTCAATCGTGGCCCAAATTGAGCCGATACCTTCGCTTCACGTGCAACATATTTCATGCTTGCGCGCATGTTGTGATAATAAATATGTCATCAACATAGTACACTATGTCAATGAAAGTCCAGCCCTTCGAACCGAGCATGTCGCTGCTAATGTCACTGTCTACTTAACCTCATAACCAGACAAAACCAATACAGTCTTGGATGCGCCATACTCGTCTTTTACTCAAAACCTTGGATTCTTGTAGCAGTCTATGAGGACATCGATAAGGTGATGATGTACGCCTAATAATTCCAAAGCTCTAACCATTCTATCATGTTGAATCCTGTCGAATGCTTTCTCCCAATCAAGTAGGGGATAGTGATGATTAAGTTGCCCCCCCCCCCCCCCCCCCGCCACTGTTCCACGATGTCTTGAACACTTCGTGTAAACAAAATTGCGTGAGAAGTGCTTAGAGAAGGCCTATTGACCAAATTGAGTTGCAGATAACGTGGGGTCAAGCACAACCTGCAGACGATTCTGGATCAAGCCCATGTATATTTTGTAAAAGTAGTTGAGAAGTGAAACAGGTCTATAGCTTGAAGGTAGATAGGCGTCCCCTTTCTAGTGCAATGGCACAACACGAGCCAAGCACGCAACTTCAGGGATCTTCTTCGTTGACCACCCAGCATTTGTAATGTCTAGAACCCGGTTGTGTTTGTTCATCCATCTAAACAACTCCATTATTTGACCGTCTAGTCCCGGCTGCTTGTTCTTCTTCACACTCTTTAAAGCTACTTCAACCCCTGACAACTGAACGAATGTACGTTGAGAGCGCAGTCTAAAGCTTGAAGCTTTTCTTCTCTTTCGATGGTTAATGTATTTGTGTTATGCCAATGCTGTCTTCCAAATATTTCGCAGCAATAGTCGCCGCCATGTTTCTCGGTGCAGCTATTTTCCCATGCATGTCTTTCATGCCCACGACGTGTGGGATACTATCATTTTTCATTTCTTCGACTTCTTTCCATTTCTCTTCTCATCTGCGATGTATCTAACAACTGTTCAACACATGGTGTCATTTTTGTCACTGCTTGCATCGTTGTTGATGTCTTCGGTCAGCTCTTTGACGGTGTCCTTCCTAAAGGGGACGGAGAGTGTGTAGGGGAGCTCCGTCCAACGAAGCTCTCCTCTAAGAGCCCTCTCTGGAACGCCTACAAAAGGAGCTGCGTGCTAAATGCTATGCTGCTGGGAGGCTTCCAGCCACAACTGTCACCTCGTTTCGTTCTGTGTGATTCACTTGCGTCTCACACAGCGAGTGCAGGACCCACACCCTCACGGATCATCTCAGCTTGGTTTTGTTTTGTATGCCCCTTCCTTTGTGTCTGGCATACTTGGCATCAAAATCGCCATCTCATGTCGCTTTCGTTTTCATCATCATCGAAATCATCCTGTTTCATTGCAACCATGATTGCGACCAGCCTTTGAGAATGTGAGCGTGTGTGCGTGTGCGAGTACTCGGTAAGTCTTGAGCCAAGCATCTGCCTTGCGCTGTGCCACCTAAGTGAACCCGTGAAAAGCAGCATCGACGCATCAACAGAAAGCATCACAAGCTCGAACCCCTGGCCTTGCCTGGGTGTTCTGTAGCAGTTTCTGCCAATCGCACTGTCGGGCTCCAGAACCCTTGGCCTTCGCCAGCCTTCGAGCCAGTACCCGACAGCGTCGGGCCAAATCCCAGCCTCACAAGCCCCAATCGTAGACGGTCATGCAATGAGCATTGTACTCTCTTTGTGGCTCGAAGCCTCCCGGATCCTTCCGGGTTTCAACACCAGCCTGCACGCCAAATCTGAGCACGCAGCGGGCATCACGTGGAAGCTGCACCAGGTCACTCGATCCGGCCTCCAGTGAGTAGTCCACATCACACGCTAACAATCAGTGCCTCTGCCCACCCAGTGCCTCGTGTGGCGAAGGCATGTCCAGTGTCAGGTCGACAGCTACGCGGACCTCGCACCGACAAAAAAAAACATTGGTTGGGTCATGAGAAGCCGGTCGAGACAGCCCAGCGGCACTCAGCGGTTTGTCTTCACCCTCAGCCAGACCAGCTGCAGCCACCTCGCAGGCCACTCCCCCTGCACTAGCATGGAAACCTTGGTGCAGGCCTCGATGGCTGCGAGCAGACCCTCGCAGCGCGCTGCTTCTTTGGCCAACTCCTCAGCTTCTGCTTTTGCAGCTTTTGCTTCTGGCTTTGTGGTGATCTGTCTTCCGAGGAACGGTGACATACTCTTGCTGCCGGGACTCTGCGTACCACCGGCCACGCTGAGAGGGGCAGAGTGTGCAAGTTAGCAGCAGCCTCAAACGTCGGACTTTGGAGGCTTGGAGCTCTTTGTCATGACCTTTGCTGCAGCAGGCCAGTGCCTGTCGCCCCTCGATGCCCCAAAACTATCTAGCTCAGACTCTGAGGACCAGACCCACTGCCGGCGAATGCAGCACGGCATGATGCAAAGCCTGTCATAAGACAACCAGACCTCGAGATCAGAACAAGACGAAAGCTTGAGCCTCCGCATAGCACCATGCTGCTGTGAAGCGCCGCCGGAATGGATCCCGAAATTTGGCAGCTTCGAACTCATTGGAGTGCACTGCCTGCAGAGCCCGCTCCAAGCCTTCTTCGGCCATCTTGGCATTCGAATCGGCGTGGTCCAGGGATGGGCGCATCTCCTGGACCGGCCACTGCAGCAGGCTTTCGACTGACGTTCCACGCCCATAACCCCACGCCTGAAATTTTTCCATGCCACAGACCAGTCGACGTGCTTCCACGAAAGCATCCAGCGATGCACGGTCAGCGAAGAGAGGTGGACAAGCGCGGTCCGGCTGGAAGGGGAAGTCTGGCCAGCGGCTGGAGAAGGCGACGTAGGACGAGTCGGCGGCTCCGCAGGTCTCCAGCCGGAAGACCTCTCCGAGAACGACGAGAGCCCGGCGGCCCAAGGACGGAGCCAAGCAAACCCAGCGGCCCATCTCCAGGGACCGTGCTACGAGCTGTGCCTGCAGAAAAACGAAGTAACGTTGTGTGCATGCGCGCGTGCCTGGATGTGCATTACAAACAAGATGGGCTGTTGTTCGGAGCTGATGTTGGATGCATGCATG